AAAACAAATTGCTTAAATGATTTTTTTTGTTCAAATTGCTTTTTTACAATTGCTTTTGTAAAACGCATATAAGAATGAATAAATGCGCATATAAGAATGAATAAAGGTGCATATAAAAATGAATAGACACGCATATAAGAATGAATAACCCTGTATTAATAAACTATTCTGATTATTTCTATAATAAGCATTTTTTAAACTCTTGAAAATATTCATGAAAATTTTGAAATATATGCAAATTAATTAATTACACGCAACAATTAAAAAAGCAATTAAGCCTAATTTAAGGAAAAAAGTTCAAAAAGTACGTGCTTGTATTTTGTCTAGATTTTAGCCGAAAGCTCGTATAAATGTTTTAAATTAGGTAAACTACCCAGTGTTCGACACTTTTTATTGGATAGTTTTATATAAACAATAATTTTTCACTCGTTATTTTTTAAAATATTGATATAAATGTTTTACTGTATAAAAGGATAGTTGCTCTTTACAATACACTTTGAGTAAATGGCATCCGGAAAAAAAAAGAGGGATTAGAGCCCTCGAAATGTCAAAATGTCGAACACTGGACGCCATCCTAAGTTCGACGTTTTTTTTTCCAGTATTCGACACTTATTAAATTTTTAAAAATTTAAGTACTTCTTCAAACAAAGGTGTACGTAGCAAAACGAAGATGTATTCTTTTTATAGTTTACAACGTAAAATATAAAAAGAAAACTTTAAAGAAAAGCTTGAACTTTACCTTTTACAGCGTAGGATAAATGATTACACTTTACACTATATTAGGATACATTATTTTTCTGCTTTGATTTTGTGGTTTTCTTAGCATCACAGCTTAATTTTTTTTAACAACAGCCATAAGTGAGTTTTTTTTATTTTCTGCATTTGTGAATCGTACTTGTTTACGACTTTTTTTGGCGGCAATAGTATCTTTCTTTTTTGTCGGATATCCCCTAACAATGAAACTACTTGAGGTGTTGTCAAGACAGATGTTGCATGGAGTTCTTGAGCTACAGTCCTAACTTTAGGAACAGTCTTTTTTGGCGATGGAAACCATCTATAATGCAGTAAGGCTTTGCTTATAACTGTTCGTTTAGAAAGCGATGTTGATGGAGTTAGGCACGAGGAGGTAGAAATAATTTCTCGGTTACAACTAAAGAAAGAAGAAATTGAAAATCAAGAAACCAATATTAAATTAAAGTGTAAGGGTAAATTAAAGTGTAAGGGTAAACATTTAAAGAATGCAATTTAATATAGGCTATGCTATTTCAATAAAATTTAAAGGAAATATAAATATTACCTTTTACATGGCTTCTTTCCTCTAAAGGACTCATTGATATTCTATCTGCATTTCTTCTTTGTAAATAATTAAACCATTTTTCTCTAATGATAAAACGCAATGATTTTAAACTAGAAAACTTAATGACATCGCATCCAAATGAACATCTGTAAAAGATAAGTACAAATTTAAATAGATTGAGTGTTTGTATGGTTATTGATTTTTTTATTTAAAGCTAGAATAGTTTCAAAGTTTGCCTGCTCCCAGCGATTCTATAAGATTAGTGTAATATTTATCAGATAAGGTTTGACTTCTAGCATTTACTTTCTGAATGGGATCTACATGCGTGCTTGGCTTTACCTTTCCATCTTGCAAAACACCTTCAAACTAAAACGCTTCACTTAAATGCTCAACCTTTTTTGTTAGTTTGCTGTAATCTAAGGCTTCTGGGTTAAAGGAATAGATGCCGGATTTTCTAAATGAATTTTTGATTTTGTCTTTGCTCATAGCAGGACAATAAAGAGGAAGGAAAACTGGAGCAAATGTTTCCTTAGTAATGTACATATTACTGTTCTATGCTCTGTATTCTTTAAAACACAAGTCCCATGCTTGTTTTCATGGGGAAAATATCCCAACATCGAGAGTTTGGAGGAAATGAGTAGTATTTGGAAGAAGCAAAATAAGATGTATTTGCAGATTAGCCAGCTGTTTAACAAGATGTCAATTCATTCTTAATTCATGTTTGTCTGACCAGACAACGACTGGTCTTAGTATATTGTTGTCAATAAGCCACCTGTCAAAAGTATCATATAAAAGCTCATTGTTTCATATAAGTATCATATAAAAGTATCATATAAAAGTTCAAGTATCATATAAAAGTATCATATAAAAGTTCAAGTATCATATAAAAGCTCACCTGTCAAAAGTATCATATAAAAGCTCATTGTTTATATAACCAGACTCGCTTTTCCCGATAGCAGCAAGCGTTTCTTGAAATGCCTCGTACACATTCATTAGAATTCTTACGTTTGCATAGATAATTAAAGGTGGAGGGAGAGACACATCAGCACCAATGTTTGCTGAAAAGAAAGGAATAGACCTAAATAAAGTCCGAACTTTAGAATAAGCATCTAATTGAATGCAATTTAATGTCCAGTATTTTAATATAATAATAAGGCATAGCAAAGATATTAATAGACATAGGTCAAAACATTACGCTTGACTGTAAGCATAATAAGAGAAATATTAAAAAGGAATTTAATAGGTAGGCTCTAAATTCTTGTTGAAAATTGAAAACCCAATTCATCTAAATTAAAATTCCTACTTGCCTCTTTTGTTATGTCAAGAATATCATTTTCTACCAAGTATGTTCTTATATCTGCAAATGATTGCTGCACTATTTGCTTGCTAACATTCATTCTTGCTGCGCTCAAAGATTTGCTGGTGCGCGTGACTATATTTGGGTGTCATTTCATGAAGAGTGAATACCTAATGAAATAAAATAAAATTATAAATCAGTAAAACTTATAGATATATGTACATATATATAATTAATTATATACAACAGACCAGTGTTAAAAACTAGCAGTTGAAACAAGTTCCAAGAAACAAAATGACAATTAAAATTGTAGTTTTTGACTCAATAGTATTTAATAACTAACCATTTTTCCCTAAACACTAAAGTCCCAGCTCGCCCAAATTTAAAATGGCCGGTTTCTGTTTATCTCAAGGAAATTCCTTTCATCAGATATAAACGAAGAAACAAAAGATAAAATGGTATCTTTTGTGACAGACAGAGTACGCTTTTGTGACTTAATATATTATTTACCAACACTTGTTCCTCTGCACCAGTCAAGAATGTGTTCGGACCCATCTTTTTGATTTTTGGGGCTTTGCCACTAATTTTATTAGGCAGAGTAATCCGAGAAATGTTGAAAAATTTGACATCTTTTGAAATAGACTTCTTTTTACTGAAAAATATACAGAAAGTTATTCAGAAAATATACAAAAATTTATAGCGCGGCTTTGACTACAGTAAAAATTGATTAACTAATAGGACATAAAAAAATATCCAATTTACCTCTTAACGTCTTCAATTTCATTGTCAATATCATCCTCAGAATATCGTGATCTTGATGCCATTCTGAAGCAGCTGCTTATTTTATCTTAACTTTATTTTACTTTTAATTTAATTAATTTTAATGTCAAAACACAGAATAGGAAACAAGCCGAGACAGATTAAAATAAAAATAAGATTGATATTAGAGAATTATTTTATGCAACACTCTTAATCCCTTGGAGATTAATTGCGAACCAAGAAGTTCTCAAATAAATAAATGTTTGTATTGTTATTAAATGTGTTTGTATTTTTCTAAATCATTCGATGAACGAATTAACGATTGAAACTGGCCTAAATATAAAGTTATAAATTAGTTATAACTAAATTTTATAAATTAAAAAAATCAATTTAATTCATTACAGGGCCGACGGCACGGGTTTTGAAGTAGGAGGAAGGGGGGCACAATAATCAATTTGTGAAAAAAATCCTCTATATCAAGTCGTCGGGATTGCATTAAGCATATTTTTTTGTTATGCTTAAATTTAACTTTAGTCAAATGACCACTAAAAACGGAGTAAAGCAGCTCCGGGTTTTTTATAGAAATGTAGAAGAAAAATGTTAGGTATTTCATTGGCTTGATTATTGGTTTTTGTTTGTCATCGGTATTTTTGAATTAAATTATTTTGAACATGGAAGCTAATAAAGTTTTTAATTATTATTTGAAGCATATTTTTTTAATATACAAACAAAATAGATACAATGATATGAATAATGACAAAGATATGAGTTGATTTAAGATAAATTAAATTTTTTTTTGACTAGAACATTGTAGTCATTATGTTGCATTTATGATTTTTTTGGTTATATCAACTCAATGCATGTCTCACAATCATCATGATTACGTTTCAGGGTATGCATATGATTTAATATATTTTTAATTATGATAACTAAGCTTATGGTTTAATATAATTTTACGTCGCATTTACAGTAGCTGAAAAAGCCACGCAGTAAAATCGGGAAGAAAAAAGATGTTGTAGTTGGAACTATGCTGACACTTGCAGTTATTGCACTTTGTAATTCATGATAAAAGTTATGTTTTTATATGATGACAACATAAAGCTTTTAATTTAGAAAGCGTTTCAAAGTGCACTATCTGTTTCAAGGTACAACATACAGGTGTAACTTGAATTGAAATATTTTTTTAATCTTCGAAAACAATAAACACTAAAATTAAACATTGTCCGAATTTGGTTAATGCTTACTGCCCTAATTAACAATTAACAACAATTTTAAGGTTTGTATTATAATATATGTATATATACATACATAAATTAAACTCTATTATATTTACAATTAAGTTTTCAACGGCTCGTAAAAAAATATAATGCACTGGATATAATATATTTTGACGTTTAATTATTTCGAATATCTCGAAAAAGATTCCGCCAAAAAACTGGTCGAACATCTTTATCACACCAATCTAAATAAGTCATATGATTTAAGAAATATGGGACTTCACATGGGCGATACAAAATTGGTATTATTTGATGCGACAATCCAATTTGCAAAGTTTTATCGCATATATTATTTTTAAAAAAGTCAGGTGACATCACTACTATTGTGCGATTACTATTTTCAATAGCATCCATTATGTTTTCTGCAAAGAAATTTCCAGGAGTATCATCTCTAATATTAACAAATGTTTTAATCCCTGCTCTTTCAAGCTTAAACACAAGTGTGTTAATGACCCATTCTCTATCCTCAGGAGCGTAACATATATTGACATCATAAGTCTTTTCTAAAAAATAATTTAATAAACATATTATAATAGTTTAATATATAGCAGCATTAGCATTAGCATTAGTAGCAGTAGTAGTAGTAGTAGTAGTAGTAGTAGTAGTAGTAGTAGTAGTAGTAGTAGTAGTAGTAGTGGTAGTAGTAGTCAGAGGCGAATCTACGAATAAAATGAGGGGAGTGAATCCTTAAAAAGTACCGACTGGCTTCTTAAAAAAAAAAAAAATTCCTGAAAACTAAAATTTACCCGACTGAATTGTGTCAAATATTCGACTAGCCAACTAAATTTGCAAAATAACAGCAATAACTTGAAAATCATTTTTTATTATGGGAAGAAGGAGGGGGGAGGGGCGGGGGTTTTGAAACAGATGAGGGGGTGGGGAGGGGAAGAGGGCAGAACCCCCCAACTTCCCCCTCGTAAAATCGCCTCTTGTAGTAGCAGTAGTAAAAGTAATTAAAAAATTTATAAAAGTAATTTAAAAATTATATAAAAGTAATCATATAAAAATTCGTAACCCCCTTAAATTGAGGGGGGTTTAAACTTTATATGGTAATATAATGCTTAAACGCTGCACAGTGGGGCAAAACCGTGTTTTTTGTGTTTAAATTATTTTTTTTATATAAGAACTGTTACAGATTAGTTATACAAACCATATAAAATAAATATTGAGCTCATATTTATTGCTAAAAACTTAAAAATCAATATAAAAAGTTTTCTTTTTTAAATTACAATTAAAAATTACGAACTAGATTTGTCTTTATTCTAGAACGTAGATTTCCCGCAAATAAAAAGTTCAATAACGCCCAGTGGAAATTTTGATGAAACAGTTTTTCTATAAGATGAAATAACTAAATCAGACGTACATCAAAGTCTTTTCATTACATACTAATTTGTCTTTATTATTGAATTTTTACAGGAATGATGTTCCCTATATTTTTTAAATTCGTTATTTCTAGCTTCTTGAGCTTCTTCACTATATAGACCTATTGTCAATAATAGATTTTCTATTATTTCTGCTCCTTGAATAGAGCATGAATAGAGCTTTGCGGTCTCCAGATAAGATAAGCGAAACTTAAAAGTAAGGGAGGATGGGTAGGAGTGAGCCACTTTTTTTTAAATCGATTATATTAAGGAAACCAAAAGTGGAAAAAGTATAGGATAAAGAGCCTAAGATAGCCTCAAGTATAAGGTTTCTAATAGTAATACATGAAATATCAAAATATCTTCAGATTTTTATTAACTTGAACAATAACGTAGGTGTTGCTACTGGTTCACTTCTACCCATGCATGGGTAGGAGTGAACCAAGCAAATGGTAGGAGTGAGCCATTATCTTTGATTACCAAAAAACTAAAACTAGATAATTTCTTTAACAAATTTATTGAAAATTAAGTAACAAATACTTTATAATTAGGCATAACATAACATAATTACGTAATAATGTAACATAAATAACAATAAATTTAACACGATTTTAAACTCATTTAATGAAATAAAGAAAATTTATTAACTACCAGAAAAATAATTTGTTTTTATTCAGTAACAACTGATTTTAACAACAAAATGAAAAACTGTCATGACAAATGATAATTTCCAAATATTACGATATAATAAAAGTATATATATATATATATATATATATATATATATATATATATATATATATATATATATATATATATATATATATATATATATATATATATAGTATATTGGCAATAAAAATAATATTTAGCAATTACTGATATAGACAAACACAACCTCAAATTTGTAATGACAATGCTGCCTTTTATTTGTTCCAGAAAAAGTTGGCCGAGGTAGTAATAATTTAATATCCATTCTAGGGATAGTAATCACCTTTTTTCCGAAGAAAACTGATTGTAACTTCTTCTTTCAACATAAAACAATTTTTTTGTTGTTGTTCCAAATTTAACCAATACAAAGTCATCTTCTTTAGGATATATATCACAAGCACAAAATCACCTTCTGAATTATTAAACCTTTTTCATTTTGGTTGTCAAATGGTCCAATACAGGATCATCTTTTTGAGTAATTTTTTGTTAGTATTCTGTAAATTTGCTTCTAATTCTTTTGTAAGTTTGACTAACTTTCTATTGCAGAGCCTTTTCTCGATCCGATTTCTCTCAGGAGTGTCTGTGGCAATCATAGAGCAACCCTTCTTCCTTTCCCTTCTTTTACAGTTTTTTTTCCAGATTTCGGAAAACCTCTGAATTGTTTAGGGCTGATAAAAGAATCTGATGATGTAGACAGATCCACCATGGTATGATTGGTAACTAGTTTGTTTGTATCTGTAGTAGTAGAGGTAGCGGGGTCTGCATTTGGTGAAACATGTGGGTTAAAAAAATTATCAGAAGTTATGCTTACGTGATTTTTTATGCAAGTATTGATTACATCAAAAGTTCTGTTTGCCACAGAGCTGCACATAAAACCAATACCTGTAAACACGTTCCTGTCATAAGGAAATATAGCTGTATTTTTAAAAGCAGCTACAATGTTAGATGGTGTTATGGCTTTCAGAAAAGCAAGCCCTACAGATGCAGCCACTTGGTAATTTGTAAATGTTTTTCCAGGATTGTAAAGCATCCATGAATTGCTGCATTATATGGAGTTTTTAATGGTTCCATAACTCCCACATCAAATGGTTGTAACGTATGCGTGGAATGGGGCGGTAATATCAAAATGGTCACTGCATGCTCCTTTGCTAAATTTAACACTGCTGTAGATAAGTGCGCTTCGAAATTGTCATATATTAATAATGATGGATTTTCTTTCGTACTTGACGAGAACTTGATAAAGTGATTCATAACATCTAAAAAAAGTTCACCGTTCATCCAGCCTGTTTTACATGCAAGTCCGAGAGATCCAGAAGTAGCTCTTGACAACATATGCTGCTTGAAATGCACTCTTGGAAAAATAATTACTCGTGGAAGATATTGTCCAGAAGGATTATACAAGTTGTGACAAGGGTTCCTCTTTCAGAACTTGTGACTTTGTAGACACTCTTCACACCTTTCTTTGCAAGAACCTAAATATTCAGAGGCTATATATAAGAAAAAAATATATCATGGAAAATATACTTATTATTGAATATTAACATACCTTTTGTGGGTTCTGCACGGTAATAGTTTCAGTTTCATCAAGGTTAAAAATCCGAGTTCCATTTGCAAATGTTGGTGATCTAGCAAAAAAATCTTTTAATTTATCAAAAAATATATTTACATTATGGGCATTAAATGATGTTGCCCTTGAGAGAGAACATCCTTCAGGTTTTCAAATCTGAATGTCGCTTTCTAAAATTATTCATCCAATCTATACCTGCCATTGAATCTTTGTGCCACTTCTGTGGAATACTAACTTTATTAATGGTTGCCATCTCAAAAGCTATACACTGACATTTTTTAATTGGAAAGCCATAGAACATTCTTGAACAAGTCAAAATATATTCCTTTAATTCTAATTCCTGCTTGTCTGTAAACATACTTTTAACATAATAATTCGGGGTAAGTCTTGCATTTTCATCAAGCGAAAATATTTTCCAATAACGACGAAGCGTTGGATAGGGTATTTTGGAAGTTATTGCAGTTTCTCTAATACTTTTTCCTTTTTTAATTAAATGTAATGCATCCTTCATATTTTTACTGGAGGTTTTTGCTTTCCAAGTTGTTCCTTTATAGATTCGAGGCACTATAACATGTGGTAAAAATAAATGTAATGTTGCACACGAGTTTTCTAATGATATACTAAGATATTAAAGTCAAACGTAAATATGTTTTTACGCTGAAGTCAAAACTTTTTTAACGTGAAGTATTAGTTAGCCGCGGTTCACTCCTACCCGTGAAGGAATGGCTGATTCTTCCCTAAGCTGTGCAACTGGATTAAAACATTAAATGTCCAATAAGTACGTGGTTTATGCATGTAAAATACTTTATTCTAAAAACTATATTTTTTATTAGTAAATTTTCAACCATTATCTAATGTCTCGAAACAACCGGAATACTCATTAAATATGTTTCATAAAATACAAAAAATTTACTTTTGCACAGAAAAGAGTGGATGACAACGTTAACGCAGACACCCACACCAAGAAGCGGTAAAAAAATTGGATTGTGTTAACAATAATTTGTATGCAATTACTTGGTGAAAACTTTGAGTCTTTTTCATTTCCTGTTTTAGCTGTAGGATCAACGGTTCACTCCTACCTTTGGCTCACTTCTACCCATCCTCCCCTATCTAATTGAAATCCACTTGATATACACATTAAGATTATGTGCAACTTTACAAATAGTTCTTTGTTTATTTCTGTAATTTCGGTAAATTTATATTCATTTGAAAAGGCTTTTCGAGCAATATTGCCGTCGTTTGAATTTCCAGATACTCCACATTTTGACTAGTCAAAAATAAGTCCCATTTTTTGTTGGAATTTTTTTTTTACAATATTTATTTTTTGTTCTTTAACATGAGCTTTCTCTGTGTCTCCTCTTGCTTGTGTTTTTTCGATTGGTATCTTATATGAAAAATATCAAAAAATCTTATCCATGAATATGAAAAGGTAATACATGAAAAGTGTAGTAAATCCTCATTGAAGCACATCCAGTAAATAGGGAAGTTTCGTAACTTTATCGATGTTGTTCATGTCTTTAGGTAAACATCCACACATACAGCAAAATTGAATAGACCTTGTTACATTCGATAAGACAGAATGGACTTTGCTATCTATCATTTTAACTTGAACGATATGTTTGACTGAAATAGAATTGTAACTCAACACAAGGTTATACAAGATAAAAGATCTCATCTTTCAAAGTAGTTTCTTCAATGATTAATAAATCAGTTGTTTCTTTTTCAAATTAAAGTTCTTTAAGGTTGCCAATATAAAGTAAATGGTTTCGGATTTCTTTAAATATCGACGTATTCGCAAACACTGGTCGATCACCAACTACTGACTTTAAAGAGTGTTCTTCAAGAACTAAGCATCGACGTGTTAAATTTTTATGTTGTGAAAGCAAACTTCAAAAATGTCAGTCGTCAAATAAGTTATCAATTGCTTCAAAAGTTTTATTAAACAAAGAAAAATAAAAAAGGCTAGAGCAATCAACAAAATACATTTAGATAAGAATGTAGAGCCTTAGATGCTTTCTGTCAAGTTTGGTAAGACGTCGATAATTAGTTCTTGAACAACATTTGTAAAAATTAGTAATTAGTGGTCGACCAGTGCTAGAAGATAGAAAATACGCATTCGGTACGGCTATTTTGACTGCAGTAAAATCATTTAAATTAAATTTTATTATCAAGCCATTAACATTTTTCTTAATAAATAAAGATTCCATGCATTTACATGTATTCCAGAGCAATTTAAGATGTGCTAAAATGTTCCTAAGTCTTGACCTCTTAACAATATCAATGTTCTGATCAAAGTGCAACACAAAGTATGTTAGCAAATGACGGTATGATTTCTCAGTGC